GTATTCCTGAATCAAAAGAGAGAAATTTCTCCTGCTGTTTGCTTTCACTTGCACTTCAAAGAGAGCCTTCGAAATGAATGCCTTTGAATGTTAAATTATAAACATAGATCTAAATCCGCCATGTGACATGACTGCAGCTGCATTTCCATGTGAGCCAAATCAATATTTTTTATGTTTGCACACTATAAAAAATTAAGTTAACTTAAATTCATTCGATTTTATCATTTTCTGACTGAGCCATTGCGAGTCCTGACAAAAACTGTCTTGTTTAAAAATAAAAATAAAAATGTCCACCTACACTTTTATCCTAAGAAAACACTGAAACAATTCACAAATTACTCACCTCAAAATATGTAATTTTTTTTACAGAAATATTAAATTGTTTCTGACAATAACATTTGAGATAGGCTGCATCTGATATGGCTCTGACTGAGGCACTGCCACCGCTGCTTACATAGCATTATTGATGCAGACCTGTACTGACAAAACGTTTTGCTTTCAGAAGGGCATTAGGGTTTTTTGTAAGAGCGCTTTAAGTTGCTCCTTGCCAGAGTTGACCCGCGTGACCTATTCATTTGAGCAGAATTAACTGCCCTTGCCAGATGAAAAGACAAACAAAAAACACAGAAGTGAGCTCATGCTGGCACCATAATCAATAGGCCTATTTTGTGTTTCTTTTTTTGTGTCACTTTTCCCATTGAGTACGATATGATGGCCATATTGATTAATGTGAATGCAGGACTTTTACAATTGCGCAAAGACTAAACGTGGTTTTAAATATTTTGAAATTTCTTGTTGAATTGACCGACAGCATTTTAGGCTTCAGTAAAGTGTGTGCAGTGATATGTAGAATGTGTATGGCCTCCTCCTGCATGTTTTTTTGTTTTTTGATGATCTTAACCCTGTTTCTTTTTATTTGATTTTGTGAGCTCCTACGTTGGCTCTCACTGCACAATCATGGAAATGAGGACAAGTACTTAAGTAATTATCATAATTTTATGCAGCTTTGTGTTCCGTGGGAATTGGTTCAGTGTCGCGCAGCATGCAACATGGGACAGGATAAAATGTAGGACTTTGCCCTGGAATGTCAAGCCAAGGCCTAATTCTGACCCCGTCTCCCTTTAGCCCTGTGTCCTTACTACCTAAATGTAATCATGAATGTTTAACGTTCATCACTTGCAGAAACTAAGACGAGGTACTCCCTGCTGCTTTGAGAAAAATATCTTTAGTTTAGACCCATCGAATCGGCTACTCCAATTCTCTAGAGGTTAACGGATTCTGACTTTTTCAGTATATGAAAAAATGTTTAAGCTTTTTTCTTTCTTTTTTTTTTGGTACAGCTTTGGTTCTTGCTTAAGGACAGGCCGAAGTGAGGGAGTTAGATTCTGAAAATATTTTTCACTTTGGTGAGTCATGCAGCTGTGATTTTTTCCCCCCCTCCAGGTACTCAGAGGCTTTGATCCTAGAGGACTGGGTGTGTGGGATATGGCCCAATAGCAGCAGCCCGTGATGCCGGACCATGACAGCGACTCCCTCCTGAACAGACAGACCAAGCGAAGACGTGTGGACATTGGTGTTAAGCGGACCGTGGGCAGCACATCCTCCTCCACAGCAGCAGTCACCACAGCCACCACTGATAACATTGCCCGCGCCAAAGCAGCCATTTTTAGTGCCATGAACTCTTTGAGCTCTCATTCTCACCACGGATCAGACACCGACTCCATGGAGTGCTCCATTGTGCAGCCACATGGTGGGCCTGGCGTTGTGTCAGCTAGTGACAGTGAGTCCAAGTCCAATGTACTCCGAAAGCTACTGAAGAGGGCCAACTCATACGAGGACACCATGATGCCCTTCCCTGGCACCACCATTATCTCTCAGCTTCTCAAGAATAACATCGCCAAAAATGGAGGAGGGCCCGAGAGGGGAGAAAGAGGGGACCGGGGTGATAGAGGGGACTCTGGCTTCCCTGGATCAGGGCTCTCTAATGCAAGTTCTGATGCTCCCCAAGAGGATGCCTGCAGTAACTCCTCCCAGGACAGCACCCCACAAGAGTGTTTGTCACCATTTGGCCGTCCTCCTGGCCTGGCCACCTTTGACATAGAACGTCTCAATGATGAACACCTGCGTGCCAAGAGAGCTCGCGTAGAGAACATTATCCGTGGCATGAGCCATTCCCCCAGCGTGGTAGTACCTGCTGCTACCCGTCATGAGCGTGACCATGATATGGATGGAGAACGGGACATGGAGCTGGACTGCCCACCGCCTCAGTCTCAACAGCAGGCCCCCAGCAGCCCACGGGGAGGCGAGGTGTGCAGCAGTAGCCGAGAGAACAAGCGTAAACAGCGTTTGCCACAGCAGCAACAGCAGAGCTTCACCCAGCTGGTATGCCAGAGAAAGGAACAGAAGCAGGAAGAGCGACGGCAGCTCAAACTGCAGCTAGAGGACATGCAGAAGCAACTACGGCAGCTGCAGGAGAAGTTCTTTCAGATATACGACTCAACTGATGACTCAGAACACAACGACCTCCACAATGACATAGGAAACATGTCAGAGGACAGCCCAGCCAGGTCTGATAACGGAGGTGACGATCGGGGTGGAGATGACTTGCGCTCAGACAATGAGATGTCTGACCTGGATCCGGGCCATTTCATAGACAGGGCGAGGGCATTGCTTCAGGAGCAAGCCCTGCTGGCTGACAGAGAGAAGCCAAGAAGAGAAGGGCTTAGCAGGAACAAAGGACACGGAGGTCCGGGTTCCTCGATGCATGCTGAAGGCAAACAGCTGGCAGAAACGCTGAAGCAGGAACTCAATTCTGCCATGACCCAGGTGGTGGACACAGTGGTTAAGGTGTTTGCAAAGCCTCCACGCCCTACACCTCAGCAAGCCTTTCCTACACTTTCCATACCTCCTGAAAGATTTCCTACTGCTGTCAATGGAGACAACCCCAACTTTCACACCGCCAACCAGAGGCTGCAGTGCTTTGGCGATGTCATCATTCCCAATCCGCTCGACTCCTTTACCAGCATGCCCGGGATCCCCGGCGCAACCAATGACCAAACTGAGGCACTGCCCTTAGTAGTGAGGAAAACACCCAGTGAGCACCACCACCAGGCCTCAGCTGTGGGTGCCCACGGTGGAAACCACCACCCCGCCCTTCACCCCTCCTCACTCTCTGCCTCCATGGGCTTCAGCCCCCCATCATTTAGACACCCCTTTCCACTGCCTCTCATGGGCTACCCTTTCCAGAGTCCTCTTGGCGCACCCCCAGGTAGTTATACAGGCAAGGACCGTAATTCACCAGACTCCATGGACCTGTCCAGGGAAAGCACCAGCTTGAGGACCAAGATGTCGTCAGGTCATCACCTGGGGCACCACCATCGCTCTTGTTCTCCAGCACACCCCGGCAGCACAGCCGAGGGGCTCTCCCTGTCCCTCATCAAGTCTGAGTGCAGTGATCTCCAGGACATGGCTGACATCTCACCCTACTCAGGCAGCAATGTATCCTTTAACAAATCAGGGTGGTGTGCATGTGAGTGTGCGCGTGTTATCGGTCTCAGCTGCGTTTGACGCTTGAAAGGCCAAATAAATAAATGTTTTAACATTGTGTGGTCCCAACTTACAGAGGCATCAGACTATCTCATGCCTCTGTAAGCCAGGGGGGGGAAAAAATCTGATTTCTGGTGGTAATTCCCCATAGATACAGGTTCGAAACACTGCATCTGAGCCACAAAGAGTTAAAAATCAAATCTTTTTGAGTATGTTTGAAACTAGCCTAAGAAACTGAGAAATTGTTGATGAATCACTTTTCCTCCCACTGCTGTTCTCCTCTCCATTGTACTGCATTGTTGTATTTATTTTTACACTCATACCTCTTCCTTCTCACAGCACCCTACAGCTTTTTCCTCCATCTTCAAACCTAAGTGCTTTAAAAGCCTTCTTGTCACATATCGCTTACTCGCAAAAGATTAGGCCCCCCACGACATTAACCACCCCAATTCTCTTTATAAAAATGGCCTGGAAGAACAAGGAGGGGAATAGCTTCCTGGAACTTGGCACACAATAGTGTTATATAGCCTGCCTTATAGTTTAACCCCTGTGTGCCCCAATCATGCCCTGTGGATAAAGAGGCTATCCCCTATGGGAGGCTCAAATTGAATCCCCTGGGGACACGGGACTAATAGCTTAAACATTCAGTGCCTTCTCCGTTTCCTGTGTACCTCCTTAGTCCCTAAGTATCCAACACCCCTTAACCCTCATAAAAGTTTGATTGGCGTCACACTACCTTTTTTTGTCTTCGTATCATTAACATTCATTATGTGCTTAACTAATTAATCCTACCGCTTTGTACCTGTTGTCGATATTATTAGCGAGTGAATATGTACACTTAACACTTTGGTTCCCTCGTTTGTGCACACCTGAGTGCAGAGCCTTTTGTGTGTCTGTGTGCGTGGATGCGTGTGTGCGTGTCTTTTTGTGTGTGCGTGTCACAAAAGGTTTGCCCGAGGATTCGGGAAAGATGTATATTTATGATTGCTTGTGTTTTCTCTTGTGTTCCTCTTATCATCCATCGCTGTTGTAAAAAGCCCACAATCATTGTCGTTTCTTCTCTCTTTTTTTCATTTCATAAAGATCTGTCAACAGCCCGGGGGGCCCTTCGGCTGTTGCTTGGCAGCCAAATACTTCTTTTTTTGTTTTCCCTCCCTGCAACCCCCCACACCCCCCTCCTCCCTCCTTTCTGTCTTTTCTTTGAAGCGGACGTTAACAGGTGTTTGCAGCGAGCTGTTTATCTTTCATTACCTCGCCTTGTCTTGTCTTCTGACCCAAGGGTGAACGCTTTCCAGAGATCCATAATCCTTTGCTTCTACGAGCTCCCGATGGAGGGATGAAAAGAGAGAGACATACAGAGACTGAGAGAAAGTAGAGAACAATCAAACCACATATGCCAGATGCTGTGGCTTTCATTGTAGCATTTATAAATTCAGGGCATTAACAGACGTACTCTTAAATGGAAAAGAATCGAAAGAACATGTCCACATGTGTTTGACATGTGCTTGTTTTTATTTTTTTCATATTTTATTTCTCAATCCACAGGTTTCGAAGCAAAGTTGGCCATTTACGAGATATAGTTTTGCGCATTCTTTATTTTAATTAGCGTGACATGTATGAATTTGTTTGTTTGAATTTGCATCTGTTTTTATAGCAGCTTCCATTAGTGTGTTGTTTTTTTTTCCCTAAGCCTCAGAAGTCAGGGACAGCTTGTCAGACATTTTGCGAGGTGTGTTCAAGTTCACCAGGTCTCGGCAGTATTGTGGAGCAGATGGCTGCTATCAATTTCCTCATTTGTTCACAGTCCGACTCCAAATTTTCTTGTCCTTACACCTGGAATTAGGAAGTAGAGCAGCTATTTTCCTCTCATGACTTTGGGCTTTGGGGAAGTGTTGTGAGAATGATGATGTCTTGTCAGATGTGGCAGGCGAACAGTGGGCCAGCTGGTGTGAGTGCACCATCATGACAAAATAATAGCCTTGCACACCACCCCTAAGTCCAATCACAATTACATTTGCAAGCTGTGAGTGAATTGGAAATAGAAATGTCTCATTAGGAAATATGAAGCTTCTTAATTGGTGGCTCAGTGGAGGTGGTATGGTGATATAACCGGAGAGGTGAGACCTTAACATCTTTGTCTTAGAACAAATTTTAATTTCGGCGATAAGGACGTAGGGGGGGTGGAGGTGGGGGGGATGAAGCGACCCGTATACTAATTGAAAAAGCAAAAACAAATTAATCTAAGTGTAAAAGCGTGGCTTCAAACAAATCCCACCTTGCCTTATTGCAACAGAGATCTCTTTTCCTTCTGCCTCTCCCTCTCGCTCGCTCTGTCTGAGGATCCCATTGTATCCCCTCCACTCGGAGCAGATGGTGTGGTGTGGAAAGTGAAGTGCTGCTCTTTTGGCCAGGCCTGTCAGAGTAACACCAGCCTGCCAGGGTTTCCCCCACAAGACCCTCGCTGCGTATACAACTGACTCTCCCCTCTCTCTCTCTCTCTTACTGAATCACACAAAGTAGACAGGGTCTTTAAGGAGCCAACCCAGCGTGGTTCAGCATTTGCTGGCTTTGCCGTGTAACCCCGAGGCCAAGGGCAATCCAATCGAGCAGCTGATGCCTTCTTCCCGCTCTATAGTTACAGCTACATCTGGACACTTGACTGATTTTAACGGCCGCAGTCACCCCGGTTCATCATAAATTATGTCGAGCAATGTATCCTGTCCGCTCAAGTGTAAACAGTCTTCGGGAAAACTTAGAGCTGTATCTCCTGTGTGATATAAATCCCTGCCTCGCTGATGAAAACCCTTGTTGAAACAGCCCGGGGTTTTAACACGTTCCCCCGCCCCCCATCCCCTGTTCCCTTTTCAATGTCTTATCCTCCAGATTGATATTATCAGTTGCATTATACGGCCGTTAATTCACCATGGAAATGGCTTGGGCCGTTCGGTGGCGCAGATGTGTTTCATTCTCCCCATCACTGGCTGAGTCCAAAGCCTCAGAGCCCCTCTTCTCCTTCTCCTCCTCCTTCTTTTGCTCCTCCAAGGGTTTGGCAGCATCACAGGAGCTGGGGGGCAGGGGTGGAGCAAGGGGGTGGAGGAGGGGGATGTAATTGAAGGCTGGAACCATGCTATCCCTCAAGGTGCCCCCACCAACCCATCTCCATCCGCTCGCTGCTGCTCAATCCAGGCGATCCATTAGGAAGACGAGGGAATCTGACGTGTATTTGAATATAGTCTCTGTGAGCACGAGCTGGGTTTTCGTGCCGGTGTTCAGGACTATCTCCTAGACCTTGTTTTGTCACTGATATGAAGCCAACATCAGACAGTCATATTCAGGCTTGGCATGTGCTGTCGCCAAGCCATTAGGCCTTCTTGCCCGTCACTGGCGTTAACTGCTGTCTTTGTCTGTGATATGCAAATGTCTCCTTTTTTCTTCTTCCTTTTTTTAGGGGGGGGCGGAGGTTAGCACAGGGTGTAGGCAAAGGCGTTTGCTCGCTTTGACTGTGAAATGAGCCTCCTTATGTAAAAGCAAGAGCTGTAGTGCTGGCCAGCTTTTTATTTACCGTGACGCTCTCACACCTGATACGCACGATGCTAATTGCAAGCAAATGGTTCTGCTTTGGTGCACTGTCTTCAGCCTCCTCAACCCCCCTCTGCAGTAACCCCGCACTCATGCCTAAAAGGAAATTTGGTTACCCACCATCCAAATGATTATTTCTTGCCAAAATTACTGCCATTTATTACCAAGTTCTAGTTTGTGGCAATGTCTGTGTTTGCTTGATGTAGAAGTTTATTTTTGATGTTCTCCCCCCTCAAACTACTGTCGTTTTCCTTAATACCAGCTGTTTTCAGATCCAAGAAGGTCTCTCCCCAAATCATCTGAAGAAGGCCAAGCTCATGTTTTTCTATACCCGCTACCCAAGCTCTAACATGCTCAAGATGTATTTCTCTGATGTCAAGGTGAGTCCAAAACATGCTCATGATCTACAGACTTTCTTTGACCTTACAAACCTTTCCATTTTTGCCAGACACCCTTCAATAATTTGCTTTTAATGTTGCTTTGACGATCTCTCTGTTTGCTGTCTCGTGTGTAACAAATGAAAGACAGGCAGACACCTTCTCCGACTTTGTCTTTTGCTCCAGTTTCTTCTCTACTTCCAACACACCTGCTTTAAAAGGGGAAGTTTGATTTGTTAATTGTGATATGCCAGCTTCGGTTGCCACGAACAATGTGCACTTGTCTTCCCTTAAAACGATGTTGTTTCCTTTACTAAGGCATTGGCTTTATGCAAAAGACGAAAGAAGAGGAAGTGGAATGGGTTTACGTGAGGGAGCTGTAGAGCCTATAAGTATTCTAAAGATAAAGACCGGGATGAGTAATGGAAGGGTGGAGAGGGCAGAGAGGAGGATGGAGCCTAGAGACAGAGGAGTGGTTATCTGAGCAGGTGTAAGGAGGACGGTTTAATGGAGGGAGAGGCGAAGCAAACAAGTTCAGTCGGGGAAGACGGAAGGGATAAGTGCAAGCGCCACTTGGGAGTTTAACGAAAAATTTGGAAAAGGAAGAACAATACTGCACAAGAAAAAAAAGGACCAGTAACACAATGGCCGTTGTAGATAACATGGTTGTTTTGTGTTATCGTTGGTTTTTTTTATGTATGTGTGCTTCTTTTTGGACTACACAGAGGAGTAAACACTGTGACAGACCCAGGTTTTCTCATTCAAATCAGAAGATAACGGTTCCCTTTTTTTCTCCCCTCTGCTCTTGTGTGCCGTCACCACCAACCGTGACTCGCGGTTCACTTGACTTTCACTCGTGATTTCTTTGGATGTTTGGAAATTCTCACATCATTTTAAAAAAAAACAAAAAGACAACAACATTACAGCTTCAGACTGATTTCAATTTTCCTGTTCTATTTTTTTTTTTTTTTTTTTAAACAGCGCAAACACTTAATATTGAAGGCTTTTAACCATTTTGCTCCAGTGACTAATCATTCCCATGGAGGTGGCCTCTCCTCATGAATGGCCTCATCAGATACTTAAACAAGGTCAAGATAATTAAGGGGATTATGAGTCACACACTGGTCTGTTTTTGTTTCCAGAGGAGGACAATAGACTCGAGCTGTAAGTTAGAAGACATGTATGGGAATGAGACCATCTAATTAGATTCACCCCGCGCAGCCTCTTAGCGAGTGGTTGTCTTCAGACAAAAAGTCGTGAAGGCTAATCGGGTCCTGACTAATCAAGTCTGGACTGTCAAGAACCCTGTGAACGTGGGAAATGGGTTGCCCTAACAAGTGGAGGACGCAATGACTGTTGTTCCCCTTCATTAAGCTTCTTTTATGACTTTCTTTCTTTACTTTGAGGTGTTTTTTTAAATGTTTTGTCACGATTCCATTGTTGATATGACAGAATATCCTCCCACTAGCTCGAAGACATCTCTGTTATTGTTACGGATATTGTTATAATGATTGGCGAATAATGAAATATTAGATTTTATTAATTCAGTCAATTAATAAAGTCAGCTAAAGTTATTGTACTTTGGCTTTACAGTATATGAATTATAGGTAGCTTTGATTTTGCTGCTTTTTCTACATTTCGCTTTCATTTTCAAGCAGCCACAACCTCCCTCACCTGCACTTTTTATTTTTCTGGTCCATCTCTCTGTGGCTTTTAGCAACAAGCCTCAGCATTTGGGCCAGTCATGTGCTGTGGCGGCAGCAGAGGCCAGGACGGTTTTTCTCTTTTCTATATGTCATTCCTTCTCCTTTCTTTTTTTCGCTGATGGTGTGGCATGGTATGTGCGCCTCGGCGGGGCCGGGGAGAAAGAAAAGCCAGCGGCTGGATTTTGAGTCACCGCAGTAACAAAAGCCCGCTTTCCAGGGCCGCTTTTTGTGTGCAGTCAGCCAATAGGCAGCCAGAGATTATCTCCCACAATTCACTCCTGCGAAAACAGGAAACGTTGGAAAGCCCTGATGACTGTGAAGGGGCTTACGAGAGAGAGAGCGGGAGAACGAGAAAGAGAGCGAGGGAGGCCCGCACAGGCTTCTCTGTCTTTCTGCTCTCCTCTCCGGTTGTTCTGGATGGTAGCTTAGCGCTCTGAGGTCATCTGTGTGCTTTCTGCTCCATTGTTGACCACCATATCAGAGAAAATGTTGGCGAGAGAGACAGTTTGGCCTTTCATGTGCATGCCTTTCAGCATCTGAATAACATCTGAATAAACCCCACACCACAAAAAACAAAATCTACTTTAAAACAGTCTACATAAATATGAATGATGTGCGTGTGAAGTTTGTGAGTGACAGTCAAAGCACTGGAATACTTTTGGCAGGCTACTAATATGGTTCAGATTAAAGATACTGCAGTGTTTTCCTTTTGTGGTCTTAAGTATGCGTTTGTGCATGAGCACAACATGCGTGTGAGCGTGTGTGCGGCGCTTTCTATCTTGTGCTCTTAACACTAAGCGCTGACCTTTCACAGGCTCTCGAGTGTGAGTGTGAGAAACACGCTTTCACTGTCTCTCTCTCATCTGCCTCTCAGCCAAGTGAGTGCACGTACACACACACACCTTTATATATGCCTATATGCTGTGTGTGTGTGTGTGTGTGTGTGTGTGTGTGTGTGTGTGTGTGTGTGTGTGTGTGTGTGTGTGTGTG